AAGAGGTCCAGCCTCAGAACCCCACAGGGGCCAGTCTACCCTGCCCTCTCGGGTCGCCATAGACTCAATGGCAGTGAGTTTCGTTTTGTTTTGCTGGGGGCGGGGGCCGTGTTGGTTAAGGGGTGGGGAGCAGAGTGGCCAGCACAGACCTGAGCCCTGGGAGAAGCGGGCTGAGCTGCCTGCTCCGGGCTGGGCCAAGGGTCCACAGAGGATGAAGAGAGGGTCCCTGCCCTCATGGCACTTGTAATCCCAGCGGCTATATCCCAAGAGGAACCCGGAGTGATGCAGCCAGCAGAAGGGCTCAGATGCTAAGTCCATCCAGCAGTGCCGAAGGAGGAAGACCGGGCGATCTGATTCCAAACAAACAGCCCTGGGAAACCCAGAAGTGCTCAGTTCTCCTGGGATGCACCGGAGTGGCCATGGGCCAGGCTTGCCTTGACGGCAGGTGGCCGTGGCCCAAGAGGACAGCTCCGGGCTCTGGGTCTTTTGGGTGGGAGGTCCAATGCTGGAGCCTCGGGGGTGAGCAAGTCAGAGTGGAAAGCCATCTCCCTAGGTTTGCAGACCCTTTATTGCAGCGACGCAGAGAAGGGGCGGGGTGCTAGGGGAGGAGGGTGGGTGAAGGCAGGTGGAGGAATCGCACACAGGTGAGGTGGAGAGGAGCGGAGAGACGGGTCCTGCAGGCCTTGGGCTTCCAGAAGCTCTGTGGCAGGTATTCACTCGCTGCAATCCCGTCTGCTGCGCCGGCTTCGGACCAGGCTCAACAAGACATCATTCGTACAAACTCTGCTAGGACAGAGCCAAGGTTTGGGGTCTGCTCTCTGGGCCCGACTAGGGTTAGGCCAGACTGGCAGCCTGGTGGGTGGGAGGGAGTGTAGAGGATGAGAGCCCCCCTGGATCTGTTAAGGGGTATGCCTCAGAGCCAGGAAGAGGGGCATACTGTTTCACAGACGAAATACACCTTGTGACTGAACTTTTTTCCCTTTTTGCTTTGGCCACTAGGGAGCTCAGGAGCAGCTTTGGGAGCCTACGTCGAGGCATGCATTTCTCTGTGCTGATGTTTCTTGGCTTTATATTGTCATAGGAGCCCTGGTGGTGCAGTGGTTATGGGTTGGGCTGCAATCCACAAGGTCAGCAGTTAGAACCCACCAGGCTGCTCCTCAGGAGAACGACTGGGCTTTCTATTCCAATAAAGTGTTACAGTCTCGGAAACCCACAGGGACCATTCTAACCTGTCTTATAGGGTTGCTATGGGTCAGAAAACACGCAATGGTGTAAGTTTGCTTTTTGGTCACATTAACGTGTAATCTGGGTTTTCTCTCTCTGGGCATACTCCAAGACCTGGATTTTGCCAGACTCAAATTTTGGCTTCCTGCACTTTCATTTTTTTGATACCTTAGTACCTAAATGTTCCTGAGACTGTTTCTTCTTCTGCATATGGGGACAATGGTAGCCTGCACAGGAGTGCCCTTGGTGGGCAGTACCTTCGAAGTCCACCAGGCCGTCCCCATTGAGGTCCATGTCCTGCAGGATCTCGTCCACCTCCCGCTGGCTGAGTCGCTCTCCCAGCAGGACCTTGAGTGCCGCACGGAGCTCACCCAGGCTGATTCGGCCATCCCTGTCAGTGTCAAACTGTGGCGGCACTGTGTTGGCTCACTGAGGGCGTCTCTCATCCATCCAAGTATCCACCCATCCACTCAGCCATCCATCCATGTACTAATTCATCCATGACTCATCCATCCATCCATCCATCCATCCAGTATCATCCATCCATCCATCATCATCCATCGATCCATCGATACATTGATCCATCGATACATCGATACATCGATCGATCCATCCATCCATCCATCCAAGTATCCATCCATCTATCCATCCATCCAATCATCCATCCATCCGTCCATCCATCCAATCATCCATCCATCCATCCACCCACCATCCAAGTGTCCACCCATCCATCCTTCCATCCTTCCCTTCACCCACAGCAGACACATCTCCCTCCCACCTTCCAGCTCCAGTGGCCGCACCTCCCGGAAGGCGTCCCGAAGCTCCCTGACTCCTATCATGTCCGCTGTCTCTGCTAGCAGCTTGGGGCCCATCAGTTCCACGAAGTCCTCAAAGTCCACCTTCCCGCCACCTAAGGATACGCCCGTCAGAGATCTGACTGCCCAGCTCCTGACCCTCATTGGCCCCCCCCTTCCTACCAGTGGCCCTTCCCCCTGTCCCATTACCTGGGCACCCCTCACTCAGCACCCTGCAGGTTGGGGCATTTATGGGCCACGTTGGCATAGTAGTTATACATTAGGTGGCTAACCACAAGGTCAGTGGTTTGAAACCATCAGCCGCTCCTCGTGAGAAAGTCGAGGCTTTCTACTCCCACAAGGGGTGACAGTCTCGACAACCCACAGAGGCAGTTCTACCCTGTCATGGAGGGTCACTTGGAGTCAGAACTGCACTGAGTTTGGTTGCAACGTAAGAACATGGTGAGATTTGGCTCAAGATATCTGGAAAGACACTCTGAGACTTCCGAAGGTTTCCCGTCATGTCTAGGAGGCTTCCTGAGGAGTTTCAGCACCCCAAGGACTTCTTGCTGTGCAATTCCAGGCAAATCAGGGAGCTTCTTGGGGTCTCAGTTGCCTCATCTGTGAAATGGGGTTAGTGGCCCTCTTGCGAGGATGGTGAGATTCTCTGCAGCAGAGATCTGGCCTTGGGAAGGGCCAAGGGCTTGGGATCCTGGGTCCCACCTGGTCAGGTACTTGCATGCCCGAGTTGCCTGCCTCCCTGGCTGGGTCCACAGACCAGCTTGGTGTGGGGGCGGGGCAGAGGCACCTACTGATGTGCTGGGAGATCTCAATCAGCTCCATCTCTGTGGGCATGTAGCCCAGCGTCCGCATGCAGGCGCCCAGCTCCCGGTAGCCGATGTAGCCATCCCGGTCTCGGTCGAACTCTTGGAAGGCGACCTGCAGCTCTGTCGGGCAAGGTGACATTAGCCCTTCCCCATGTCCCTGGCCCCAACCTGGAGCCAACCCACCTTCACCCCTTGGCTCCATCACCCCCTCCTGCTAAGCATCAGTTTCTCTTCGGTGCCTCAGGGCCTTTGCACATGCAGTTCCTTCCATTCGTTCTCTCAGTAAGTGTGGGAAACAGATGTGTTAGGGGCTGCTGGATTACCCTGACGAGTAAGTGTGCAGGAAGGTCTACCAGAATGTTCCTTGGAAGCAAGGATGGGGAGACTTCATCTCACACGTCAGGAGAGACCAGTCCCTGGAGGAGGACATCATGCTGGGTGTAATAGAGGGTGGGCAGAAAAGAGGAAGACCCTCTCCTATATGGATGGACACCGTGGCTGTAACAATTGTGAGGAGGGTGCCGGTCTGGGCAGTGCTTCGTTCTGTGGCACGTCAGGTCGCTCTGAGTCAGGGTCACCTTGACTGCATCTGACAACCTCGTGCCCAGGAGGCCTGGGGGTGAGGTGGGTTATGGGTTGGGCTGCAAACCACAAGGTCAGCAGTTTGAACCCACCAGCCCTTCTGCAGGAGAAAGATGAAGCTTTCTCCTCCCCCAAAGAGTTACAGGCTCAGAACCCCCCAGGGCAGCCCGCTCTGTCCTGTAGAGTCACTGGGAGTTGGGATCTGCTCCGTTTTGGGGACTCTGGATTTCGTCAGCGAATAACGAAAAGGGAAGGAATCCTTCCCCACTCCCAGCATGGAGTTCCCATTCTGGAACATTCTTCTCTGGTCCTTCATCTCCAGGAAACCTGCCCTCGGAACTCTGTTGTTCCACCAGCTCCGTTGTTCGACTGCTCCAGTGCACGGGGCACTGTTTCTGTGTGGCGCATGAGAGGACAGGGTGCCTGTCCCTTTATCGTGTGTCCCAGGGTCTGAGCGAACAGTGACACACACACACTCACACCCACCCTGCAAGGCAAGGAATGAGACCAAGGAGCTGATAGCTGGGGGCTCTGTCGGCCTCTGGCTGCTCAGCCTTGTCCCTGCCTCCCGGTAGCTTCCTTCTTGCTCCCAGTTCTGCCAGAGATGGCAAAGACCCTCTGGTCAGCGCCGGACGCCATGCCCCTCCCCCTCCCCCAGGAACTCATGTCTTTACCTTCAATCTCCTCCGGCCGCAGCTCCCGGTCCTAAGGGAGCACAGAGGGGTTAGGCATCCTCTGGACCCCCAGACACTTGCCCCACTTTCTGCTTGCCCCTTAGGGCTCCCCACTCAACCCCCGCCCCAGGCACACACAGGCCTGTGTGTGTGTGATGCTGCTGAGAGCCAGATCCCGTTCTGTATTTCAGCTGACCGGCCTGGGGTCTTAGGCCCCACCTCTCCCTGCACAGCCCCCACCACTCCGGGGACATCCGTTGCCAGAGTGGGGGGGCCTGAGGGTGGGGCAGAGTCCCAGGCTTGGCCCCACTGGCCTCCATGTCACCACATGTCCCTTGGCCCCTGACCTCTCCTTTGGTGGCTCTTTCTGACATTTCTCTGAACCTCTTTCCGCATCTCTCTTCCAGGTGCCACCTTATCGCAGTTTCTGGGGTCCTCTCTCCCCACCTCTCTGCCTGCCTCCCGCCCTGGAGCTGGGACTCGAGGTGTGAGGTTTCCACCGGGTCCTCCGGGGCCCTGCTCCTGCAGAGGTGGCGTGCGGGGTCCAGGATGGGTTGGTAGCCGGCCGGCAGTGACCATACATCTGAGCTGGGATGCAGCGATGCTGGACGGCAGGAAGATGCAGGCGGGCCCCACCAAACACTTCAAAACCGAGCAGCCCTGGACCCCCTGCCCAGAGCCCCTCTGGTCCTCGGGGCTGGGGCTAGGGCTGAGGTAGGCGCCCCCGGGGGGAGAGCAAGGCCATGGCCCCAAGTCCTGCAGCAGAGCCGGCCATGAGCCCAAGGCCCTCCCCTCCCTGCCCACCAGTGCTGCTACCCAGGCCTGGGGTGGTGGAACACAGGGCAGAGGGCCCTTTCCCGGGAACATGCTACGCTGTTCACTCCCGCAAGCTGTGGCCCGGGAATGGCAAAGGACTGGGCCAAGGCCATTCGACAACAGAAAGGGACAGCAAGCCCAGCTCTGTGTCCCCAGGTCAAGACTGGCCAGTGGGAGGCAGGGGCCTCCAGGAGGGCCGCCGTGGCAGGCTTCCAGTAAGCAGGGTGGGGTAGGGGAGACCTCGTGGCCTTTGGGAGCCAGGGTGGGCCAGATTGTGGGGGCTTCCCTTGCCTGTGGCCCACCTCCAACCAGCCTCACCTTCATACAGCGTCTCTGTCCACCTGTGCGACCCCTCCCGGGGCCCAGCCAGCCTCCTAGTTCTGGCCTCTCCCCTCCTACCTTAAGTCTCTGGCTCCTGGAGGTCTTGGCACAGTTCCCCATGGGCTCCTGCACCGGGCCTGGCCAACAGTCCTGGCCTGGGCAGTGCCCTCGGTGCAGAGCTTGGGGGACTGCCGCGGATTTGCCAGGCTTTTGTGGGGAAGACCGAGGGCGGTGGGTAGCAGGCGGCCCTGGACAGGGGGGCTGGGCTCTAATCTGGGATAATCTCTGAGCATCTCTGATGATGAGGAGGGGCTCTTGGAGCAGGAGCCTCCTGGGAAGCCCCATCTCCCCTGGGTCACTCAGGAGGGTCTTCCTGTACCGCCTCCTCACATCCTTCTATGCTGCCCCCCTCCAACCCCCCCATGGCCAGAAAAGGTTTGATATCTTTAGAAGCAGGGCTGGGGCTGGAGGAAAAAGTCAGGCGCTGTGTGCCAGGCCTGGGGTCGCCTTGCCTTTCCTCCGAGTGGCAGGCATGCTGGGGGATGTGAACAGGGTGGACCTTCGACCCAATGCCCGGAGGGAGGTGCCTCTGGGGGCAGGGCTCAAGGAGGGCAGAGGCAGGGGCCCTGGCCTCACTGCTGACCAGCTGCTGGCTCCTCCATCAACCCTTCCAGGGACCCTTCCCCGCCGACCCCCCCGCCTCGTGGGGGTGTAGGCTCCCCTTTACCTGCCCGTAGGCCGCCTGCACCTGGGCCTCCAGCTCCTGGAGAAGTGCATGCCGCCGGCTGACCTCTGGGCTGTCCAGGGTGCGGCTGGGCCCTGCGGTGCCCTCTGAGGGTCTGGGGTCCTTGGGGGGGAGGGTGCCTTCGGACGGCGCATGGGGCAGGGCCATGGAGAAGAGGACTTGGCACCTCCTGCAGGACTCCCGGTCCTGTGAGAAGGTTGCTTAGTGGGCAGCTAAGAGGGTGGTTCTTTCCTCCTGCTGCTCCCCTCCCTCATCCCCCTTCAGGGAGCCAGAACTCATCCCCCCAAAGCCTCAAGTCCTCCCTATTCCTCCTGCCCCTTGCCTGGCCCTACCACCCTGGCCAGCCCCTCCTCGATGGGTGTCCTACCTCACCCCATCAGCCACCCTTCACCCTGCTCCCCACACTGCCCAGTCCAGCCTGGCCCTCACCCTCCCTCCCTAGGGGACCCTGACTTCTAGTGTAGACTCTGGGTCATGCCTCCCTGCCCTGCCCTCTGACCTGCTGCTCTTGTGCTTCTGACCCACTGCCCTCTGCCCTATTGCCCTCTGCCCTGCTGCCCCCGTCCTCTGATCTGCTGTCCCTCTGACCCATAGCCTCCACCCTCAGGCTCCTGGCCTCCTCTCCTCTTCTCCTGACTCTGCTCAATTATTCCCTGCTCTGGGTCTCTGTCTTGGGCTCTTTGCCCCTTTATTCCCCTCTGTCCCCAGAGACCTGTCTGTGTCTGCCTTGTGCAGGTGACCTGTGGTCCTCTCCGTGCCCCTGTCCCAGCTTCCTCCCGCAGTGACTCTGTGGGTCTGGGTCCCCTCTAGCCCCTCTCTGCTGTCCTGAGGCATTTCCTCACACCTGCCTGCCATTCATGCTCCTCCTATCCCCACCCACCCACCCACCATGCAAGTGGTTCTTTCCCTGCTCACGGCCCCAGGGCGCCTGTGCATGCCCACCTCCTCCTCATTTGGGGTCCTGGCAACCTCCTGCTTCTCGTGCAGAAAGTATGGGGAGGCAAACAGCCCCCCAGCCTCTTGTGCCCCCCGACATTGTCCCAGCCCACTCACCGCCGGGCATCTGCTGCTCACCCCGCAGAATGCGGTCTGCAGTCCTGCCCCGGCCCCTCTCCAGCCCCTCATGATTTATTCAGCTGCCCCTGCACTGGCCTTTGTCCCAGGGAACCGGATCCCGCCAGACGCCTGCCACCTGAGCTGATGGCCTGGCCTCTCTCGGCGCCCCGGCCCCTCACTTGTGTGTTCCCCCAGGTCTACTTGGGGGACCCACTCACAGGCAGCTCTAGCGTGGAAAGGGCCACCTGGCAAGGGCTGCCAGGTGGCTGGAAGGGGAGAGCAGGCAGGAGCATGCAGGCCAGATGGCAGCAGGTGGTCTTTGGGTGGCCTCCATGGGATGCTGCCGCCACCGAATGGAAGGGGCCCCATTCTTTTTATTTTGGGGGGGACCCCATTCTGGGCCTTGGCATGTGCCTGTAGATAAAGGGGACACGGATGCTGAGCCCGTGGGCTGTAAGGAGACAAGACCATTTCTATAAAATATCTTTGTAAGCTGCTAAGTGCTGGGCAGATGCTCCTTCAGCTGCGAGTCAGGGATGACAGATAATCCAAGGGCCTCCGCTCCTCCCCATCGCAGTCCTGTCCCAGGGCAGCTCTGGGCTCCATCCAATAGGAAGCCTGCAGCAGCTGGGGTAACCCTCACCCGCCCCCAATCCCTGCTGCAGACGGGAGCTCCGGGCTCACTGGCTTCTGGCTGTTTTGTCCCCATGTTTGTGGAGGGAGGTGTGTAGTTCTGAACTTGGGAAGGGTGCCTTCCTGTTTCCTGGACACAGAGAAATCAGTCTGCTGAGTTCCCAGAAGTGACCACTGAGATTGGGGTGTGAGGGGGTGGAGGGGGGTGGGGAGCATGGGGGATGGAGAGGGGTGGCTGTGGGGGCAGCTGGGAGGAGATTGGGCTGGGCGGGCCAGGTGGACCTGCTGGGAGGCAGAGACCAGCCTCTGCCCGGAAGGGCACAGCCTTCTGGGCTCAGGAGGCCCCACCTATTCCTGTCTGTCTGTCTTCCCACTTACCTCCTGCATCCCAGCCCCAACCTCTGTCAGCATTTGGAGGGTGGGTGTGGGGAGCAGATAATTGGTCTGTAGGCCACAGGCGGACAGAGGAAGCGATGAGGGTTCGAATTGAGGGCCCTGGAGCCTGAGGCCCCGCTGCAGACGTGCTGTGTGACCTGGGGCGAGTCCTTTAACCTCTCAGGGGCTCTGGTGGCCTTGTGGGTTATGCGTTGAGCTGCTAACCACAACATCAGCTGTTTGAAACCACCCGCCTCTCCAAGGGAGAAAGATGAGGCTTTCTACTCCCGGAGAGAGTTACCGTCTTGGAAAACCCACAGGGGCTGTTCTACCGTGTCCTAGAGGGTGACCACGACAAGTCAGCGTCCACTTGGAGACAGTGAGCTTGGTCTGCACGCTCTGGGCTCTCATCTTTAAAACGGAATCTAGAACAACCCCAGTGTCAGGGCCGTAATGCCTGCAGGTCTCCGTCGTGGTCAGCATGGGCAGGTTTGGTTGTTTTCATTGTCCGATGCTATCGAGTTGGTGCCGACTCTTTGGGACGTTATGCACCAGGGAAGGAAGCACGGCCCTGCGCCATCCTGTCCTCCTCCCGGGACTGGTCTCTCCTGACCACATGTCCAAAATATGTAAGAGGAAGTCTCACCATCTATGTTAGTCTGGGTAGACTAGAGAAACAAATCCAGAGAGACTCATATGTGTATAAGAAAGAGCTTTCTATACAATAGCAATTGAATGTTGAGAAAACGTCCCAGCCCCATCCAGATCAAGTCCCTAAGTCCGATATTACCCCCTATGTCCGATACCAATCTATATCCGACACCAAAA